ACCTGGATGATACCCTTGATATCCTCCCACAACTCATCTGGCCTTCGTTCATTAGTGTTCAAAGCCTCAAATCTGTTCCTGAGATGGTTCTGAAATTCAGAATTTTCTCATATCAATATTACTGTTTTATAATTTCCACACACTGTCAGATGACCTTTCTTTGGAATGGGAATAAATATAGATCTCTTCCACTCTGTTGGCCACATGGTTGTCCTCCAGATTTCTTGGCATAAATTGATGAGCATATCTAGGACAGTGAGTGTTGGTTGAAATACGTCAATTGGTATGCTCCTGGGGCCTGGTTTTTTGCCAATTCCTTCACAGCAGCTTGAACTTCTTCCTTCATCACCACAGGGCCTTGCTCATACGTTGTTTCATCAAATTCTTCTGTGTCTGCCAAATCCTTTAGGTACAATGACTCTGTGTGCTTTTGATTTTCTGACTCCAGCTCCTTGCACATTTCATTGTAATACTTTACTTTGTCTTCCTATGCAGCCCTTTGGAATCTTCTGCTGGAATCGTAATATATTGATTTCTTCCCTTTCCTTTGGCTTCTCAGTGCTCTAATGCAACATTCAGAGTTTCTTTTAACACCCATCTTATTATTTTCTTCTTCCTCTGTCTTTGCAATGAACTCTTGTATTATTCCTAGATGGTTTCCTTGATATCCTTACACAACTCATCCAGTCTTTACTCATTAATGTTTAAGGTCTCAAAACTGTTCCTGAACTTGTCTTGAAATTCAGATGGGAAAGGCTCAAGGTCAAATTTTGGTTCCTGTATGCTTGATTATATGTATGTATGTATGTGTGTGTGTAGTTATTGATTGCCTTTGAGGAGAACCCTACTCATAGATAACCTATGAAAAAAAGGCCTGAAACCCCTCTACAATGACTGACATTTATAAAAGTTCATAGAGTTTCTGTAGACATGTTGTTTAGGAAGTGGATGCCACTCCTGCTTCAAATATATATTTATACATATTTTTAAATTTAATTATAATTATATAATTATAAATTATATTTATAGAATAAAGGTAAACAACCCAGTTGCAAAATGGGCACAGGATATGAACAGACACTACACCAAAGAAGACATTCAGATGGCAAACAAACATATGAAGAAATGTTCAAAATCCCTAGCTCTAAAAGAGATGCAAATGAAAAGAACTATGAGATATCATCTCACCCCAGTAAGAATAGCAAAATTCAACAGAGCAGCGAACAACAAATGCTAGTGAGGTAGTGGAGAGACTGGAACCCTTATTCACCACACTTTTCAGTGATGTTTCAAACCAGTTTATCTATTAATTTCTGTTATTTTTTCATATTATTTCACTGAGGAAATAAATATTATACCAAAATACTTAATTTCTTCTACATCATTATTATAATTTTATAGAAATTGTCTATAAAAATCTAACAATGGGTTAATATATTCTGAGGGTAATTAATTCAGTTTGTTAAAATGACTATAAAGTTATGTTGTTGTTGCTATGTGCCATCAAGTCAATTGTGACTCATAATGACCCTATATGTACAACAGCTCTGAACGCTGCAAACCTTATTGTCTCTGACACACCTACTACCGTTACCCCAGTCACTGAATCAATCCAACTCATCCAGAATCTTCCTCTCCTGTGCTGTTGCTCCATTCTTCCAAGCATGATGTCGCTCTTCAAGGACTGGTCCCCCTCTACAACATGCAGGTATATCAGATGGAGCCTCAGAATCCTTGCCTCCATGGAGTAACCTGGTTTTACCCTCTCCAGGATGAACCTGTTTGTTTTCCCTAGCAGTCCATGGTATATTCAGTACTCTTCTCCAGCACCACAGCTCAAAGGCATCAATTCTCCATCTATCATTCTTAGTCATTATCCAGCTTTCTGATGCCAAGCAAGCAATTACGAAGACCATGGCCCAGATAATGGCACCATAGTCTCCAGACTGACTTTGTTGCTCTTCAATACTTGGGAGAGGTCCCTAACACCAGCTTTTCCTGATACAATTTATCATTTGATTTCTTGGCTTCTGGTATCAAGAGTGTTGATTGTGGAGCCATGCAAACTGAAACTGTTAACAGTTTCAATCTCTTCCCCGTCTATCATGATGCTGCCCATGAGCCCAGTGTAAGAATCTTTGTTTTCTTGATGTCGAGCTTCAATTCATATTGAAGGCTGTAGTCCATGACCTTCTGCAGCAAATGCCTCAGGTACTCCTCAGTTTCAGTATGCAAAGTTGTGTCATCTGCATAATGCAGGTTGTTGATGAGTCTTCCTCCAATTCTGATGCCACGTTCCTCCTCAGAGCCCAGTTTCCTGGATGATCTGTTCTAAATATAGATTTAAAAGGTATGAAGAAAGGCTACTTCCCTGGCATACATCTTTCCTGATTTTGAACCATACGATGTTTCATTGTATCCTGGTTCAAGTATAGATTTCACATTAACACAATCAAGTGTTCTGGGATTCCCATTGTTCTCAAAGTTATCCACAGTTTGTTGTTATCTACACAGTAATATGCCTTTGCATAGTCAATGAAACACAAATAGTACCTCTGGTACTCTCTTCTTTCAGCTAAGATCCATTTAACATTAGCTATAATATCCCTAGAACCACAGCCTCTTTAAAATCCAGCCTGCACATCTGGCAGTTCTCTGTATATAAAGTTATAGTAAATTTAACATTTCTAGTAGTTGTTCATTGAGCATCTATTATTTGGGGAGCTCTAGTGACCTAGTGGCAAGAAGCTGCACTGCAATCCCAAAGACATGCAGTTTGAGACTACCAGCTGTTCTGCAGGAAAAAGATGGACAGTCTCCTCCCACATGGTTAACTGCCTCTGTAAACCAACTGGAGAGTCAACTGTGGGTCAGTTCCAACTCTACGGTACACAACAGCAACAATAATTAATTCAGTTTGTTAGGGTGATTATAAAGTTATAATAAATTTAAAATTTATGATAGTTGTTCATTGAGCATCTATTATATGCCAAGATCTTGGGAACTGAAGTATTAAAAAGAAACTCCTTTCAAGTATGAATAGAAGACTTGAATAGACATTTTACGAAAAAAGATATTTAAACAGGCAATAATTACTGTGCATGAAAAGAAGCTCAACATCTTGCATGCTGTTGTTGGGTGCCACTGACTTGATACTACTCATAATACGGTTGAGCACCAGATCTCAACCTTGCCCAATCCTGTGCCATCCTCACAATTTCCTCCATCTTAAGTCAGTTGTTATAGCTATTGGATTGATCCATTTTATTTAAGATCTTCCTCTCTCCCTTGCCTGCTACCATTCCCAGCATGTCATCTTTTTCTAAGGACTGTCCCCTCTAACAATATCCCCAAAATACATGAGGCAAAGTTTCACCATCCTTGCCTCTGCAGAGCACCCTTGCTGCTCTTTCTCCAAGACAAATTTGTTGGTTCTTTTGGCAGTCCTGGTATATTCAATACTCTTCTTCAACACCACAATTTAAAGACATTGATTCTTCTGTGGTCTTCTGTATTCATTGTCCAGTACATAGAAAGAAATTTAAAATACTAGGTCTAGAGTTAGGTAGGTCTTTAAATTGACATTGCTGGGAGCTCTGGTGGCCTAGTCACAAGAGGCTGTGCTGCAATACTGAAGGCACATGGATGGTTTGAGTCCACCAGCTGCTCTGCAAGAGAATGATGGGCACTTTCCTCCTGTGCAATTAACTGTCCCTGACAACGCATCCAAGGCACAGCCATGGGTTGGTCTGACTCGATGGTGCACAACAACATGTGTTGTACTAGAGGTGACTGTACCTAATAAACTGACATTTTCCCTCCAGACACCCTGGAGAAAGGATGAAAGTCACACAAGTGTTGAGGACTTTCGTTCATAGGGTCACTACTATGAGTCGCCTACAACTCAACAGCACTTAACAACAACAACAGAGATCTTTGATAGGATTTTCTCAATACAACACATCTTTTGATTTCTTGACTGCTACTGCAATGAGTGTTGATTGTAATGTGAAATCTATTATAATGTTGTCTATGGTTCAGTGGTGTGGAGTTTTGTTTTCTTAATGTTGATATTAATCCATATTGAAGCTATAGGCATTGATCTCCTACAGCAAATGCTTCAGTTCCTCTCTCAGTAGGCAAGGTTGTGTCATCTGCTTTACCAAGGTTGGTGGCCAGCCTTCTCCAATATTTATGCCGCATTCTTCTCCATATAGTTCTGCTTCTTAAATTATTTGCTCAGCAAATAGATTGAATGCCTATGGAGAAAGGATAAAATTCTGATGCACACCTTCCCTCATTTTAAACCATGAAATGTTACCTTGTTCTATTTGGACAGTTGCTTCTTGATCTAGGTCTAGATTTCCCATAAGCACAATTAAGTGTTCTGGGATCCCCATTCTTCTAGATGTCATCTATATTTTATTATGATCTACACAATCAAATTACTTCATATGGTCAAAAAAACTGAAGTAAATATCTTTCTGATGTTTTTTTTTTTTTGCTTTCAACCAAGATCCATCTGACATTGGCAATGATAGCTCTCACTCCACACTCTTCTGAATTTAGCTTGAGTGTCTGGGTATTCACCATTGATGTTCTTTTTAGCTGTTTTTGGGTTGGCAGTGAAACTTCTTACCCATAGGCCATCAGCTCCCTCTATAACCACTTAGTTATGACATACTATACCTGGCCAATCAACTGGAAGAGATCCAAAAGGCCATCCAACAAAATGTGGAAATTATCTAACAATATCTTTGCCATTACTTGCTATGCATTAGAGTGCTGGACAATGACTAAGGACGACAAAAATCGATGGCTTTGAGTTGTGGTTTTGGAGGAAAGTCTTGAACGTATAATGGACTGCCAAAAAAACAAATAGGTCTGTCTTGGGGAAGGTTAAATTAAGTTTCTCCTTGGAGGCTAGAATTTTGAAACTCCATATCACATACTTTGGGCACGTGGCCAGGAGTGACTTGTCCATGGAGAAGGATATCATGTTCGGGAGGGTGGAGGGACAGTGCAGGAGAGGAAGAACCCGGATGACGTGGATTGCTAGTATAAATGAAGCAATGGGGGTAGATGTGTCAGAGTCAGTGAGACTGGCTCAGGACAGGGCAGGCTTCAGAGCTTTCATAGATAGGGTCACTATGAATCGCAGGTGGCTCAATGACACATAACAACATCCTTATTAACATCACATGCAAGTAAAATCTTGCTGAATATTATTTTAAAAAGTTTTGTAGCTTCAAGACCTTTAAAGCAGAAAATAAAACTTGGAATTTAATAGTTTTGTAGTTACAAGGCCATTATAACAGAGTCAAAACCAGAGTTTAATACTGCAGATTTTTTTAATTAGACTTTCAACTGAGGTTAAAGTCCCATCAAGTCTGTGAATTTAGAGCATTATCTAAAAATGGTGGAAGCTTTTAAAAATTAAATAGCAGGGGAGCTCTGGTGGCCTAGTGGCAAGGATCTGCAACTACAATCCCAGAGGCTCACGGTTCGAATCCACCAGATGCTCTGCCAGGGAAGGAGGGACAATCTCCTCCTGTACCGGTCAGATCTGATTTGACGGTACACTCACGCAAAAATAATAAAATTTTTAAAAAAAATTATATGGCAACATTTTTTAAGACTTGAATACCTCTGAGTAGCCAACCTTTAAAACTCCACTGAGGAAGGGAGCTCTTGTGGCCTAGTGGCAAGAAGCTGCACTGCAATCCCAGAGGTACGCAATTTGAATCCACCAGATCCTCTGCTGGAGAAGGAGGGGCCGTCTCCTCCTATACCAGTCAGATCTGATTTGACGGTACACACAAAAAATAATAAAATAAAATTTAAAAAACTCCACTGAGGAATAATTTGGACAAGAATAATGAGTATAGATGCAGAAATTGATGAATGTAATCAATATAACTGAGTTATAAATACAGGAATTATTGAGTTGATGTATAATTTGTTTTATGTTTTTTAACAATTAATAAATAACTGAAACTTCACTAGGCCTCTTGATCCCACAAAATTAGCTCCTCTTCTGTTTTAAAAGGCTGATTTTGCTGTGCTTGAAAACCCTATATTGACTTTACACTAAAAGAAACTTTGCAGATGTTCGACTTGGTGCTCCCTCTACGCTACTAGCATTACTATCAGAGGCAGAGCCCAACATGCCTAGAGATTGAATTAGAAGAGAAGGCTTAAAAAATTACAGTCGTGTATCACATAAGGCCCATCCCTTTGGGCAACTTCCACATATTCATCTGTCATCCAAACTCTCATAGAACTTATTTAAAAAAAAAATTATTTATTTACAAAGTTTGAATACATTGTTTTTCCCAAAAGATCTTTCCCATTTCCTTTACCCTACCCACCTATCAAATTGTGAAACCTTATGATTAATACCCTACCACTCCCCATCAGGCCCATCCCTTTGGGCAATTTCCACATATATATCTGTGGTCCAAACTCTCATAGAACTTTTTCTTTTCAAACTCCAGGTTACATACAATGGTTGTAAATAACAAACAGGTACTATTTTGGGATATACATCAAAACATTAGTGATAGTAGTAGTAGTTATTGTTATATGCCATTGTGTCATTATGTGCCATTGAGTTGACTACAAAGCCTACTACTCCCAGAAACAATGGCTCTGAACCTGCCCTATCCTGAGCCAACCTCAATGTCTGTGGCAAACTTGACCTCGTTTCCACAGTCACTGTATCAATACATCTCCTCCTCGGTCTTCCTCTCCTGTGCTGATTCTCTATCCTTCCAAGGTTGGTGTCCTTGTCCAAAGACTTCTCCAACATGGGAGATGGAGTTTCAAAATCCTTGCCTCCTATTCTTGACTGTTGTCATGCTATTAATATCTAATCATATATTCCTTTCAAGCAGTTCTATTCCTCATCTGTTTCAATGCAGTGTACATTATTTATCTTCTCTTTTCTTAGTTTTTCCCCAACCCCCCTGTCAGTCCTGTTTTATAACTGTGACATTATGCAGTATTTGTCCTTTTGTGACTGAGATATTTCACTCAGCAAAATGTTCTCCAGGATCATCCATTTCGTATAATATTTCATGGGTTCCTTGTTGTTCAGTGCTGCATAGTATTCCATTATGTGAATATACATACCACGGCTTCTCTATTCATTTGGTTTTTGATGGGCACTTGACTTGTTTCCATCTCTTTGCTATGGTAAAGTAGACTGGGGGGAGGGGAATTATACAACAATGAAAGAATACTTTTTCAAAGAGGAAAGCTAATTTGGAGGGGTAGAAAGGGAGGAAACTGTGCAACAATGAATGAATAGAAATCTAAGTTATATATGAATGTTGATTTAAAATCTCAGTTTAAAAAAAGTAGGGGGGGGAAAAGTCCTTATCTCCAAGGAGCAACCTGGTTTCACTTTAGGACAGATTTATTTGTTCTCTTGGCAGTCCATGGTATGTTCAATACTTTTCTCCAGCACCACAACTTAACGGCATCAATTCTCCCTTTGTCATCCTTGGTCATTGTCCAGATTTAAGATTCATAGTAAACAATTGAGAAGGCCATGGTCTGGAACAGGCGCACTTTGGTCTCTAGAGTAACATCGGTTCTGTTTAGCACTCTGGAGAGATCCCTGACAGTAGGTGCCATCTTGTTGTATATGACTCATGGCAATCCTATGAACAGCAGATGTGAACCTTACCCTATCCTGTACTAGCCTAACCCTCCCTGATATGCTCATGCCCATATCTTCTCTTTCTCTGACCCTCCACCTTTCCCAGAATGATGCCCTTTTCTAAAGATTGGTCCCTCTTGACAGCATGGCCATCCTTACCTCTAAGAAGCACCCCAGTTGCATTTCTTACAAGACAGACTTATTTGTTCTTTTGGCAGTCCATGGTATATGTTCAGTACTTTTATACAGCACCACAACTCAAAGGCATCAATTCCCCCTCTGTCTTCCTTAGTCATTGTCCTGCTCTCAGATGCACAGTAAGCAATTGAGAAGGCTATGACTTGAGTTAGGTACACCTTAGTCTTTAAAATGATGCACACAGTTGTTCCTTAACACTTGAAAAGATTCTTGACAGCAGGTGATATTCCCCATACAACTAGTCTTTTGAGTTCTTCACTGGTGACACCAAGAATGTTAATTGTGGATCCAAGGCAGATGAAATTGCTGACAATTTCAATATTGCCTCCATGTATCATAATCCTGCCTATTGGTCCAGTGTTAAGGATTTTTGTTTTCTTGATTCAACACTGTAGTTAATAAATAAATGTTATAAAATTTAGTCTATGACATTTATATGAAAAATGATTTGAAAGCCTTCACTTCGAATTTTTGTTAAATTATAACTTTGAAAACAAAATGGAGGGTCACTATGAGTCAGAATTCACTTAATGGCAGTGAGTGAGGGTTTCCAATGGCTGTAATTTGATAGAAGTAAGTAGTCAATAGCTGTTTTTCTTTGCCCTTTGTTTTCTAGGTTGATTACATGCTCAGGAAATCCAGGCAGTCTGATGTTGGCAGATGAAAAAGGCGATCTAAAATTGCATGTCACTGCAGACCCATTCAAGGTGGACCTAGTGTCTGAAGGAGATATTATAATGAGCATAAATTCCCTGGGAAAATTATACTTTGAGCATTTACAGATCCTTCCCAAATTAAGGTATTGTACACATTACTTAATACATAAAAACCCCCATGTTTGTTGTGTCACATTCACAATAAAAAATTGGTTCTCTTATTTGCATCTTTTAGCCTATACAGGTGAGTTGCAGGCTTGATGACAATACTGCAGCACTCTTTACACATCTCATATATTTGATTAATGGAATTCTCTAGCCTCCACACTACCCTAAATAATAATCTAGTGGTGATGACGAGTTCTGCCATTTTTTACTCAGACGGTTTTTTAAAAATTCTGCACTCTGTGATTCTTTCTGTTTGCCATAATAATGAATACATTGTCTCATTTACAGAAAACAACTAACATGTTTATATTTCTGTATAAATGTGACTTTTACCCCTGGTTTTTAACTTTTAAAAATTCTTAAATCTTCATTACTGATAGTTGATTGTCTTATAAAAAAGTAATATTTAATTTTAACCAGATTAGAGTATATTGGTAAGAAAAAAGATCTTTTGAAATATTCATAATCTCACCACTTATCTGTTAGTATTTTATGAATATTCTTTGAGTACTTGTTTTAACTGAAAAGTACTACTAATAATTTAGCACACATCGGCTAACCCAATACCTTGATAACGTTTTTAAATTTTAATTTTGTTGTTATTGAGAATGCTAATTCAATAATATCTACCATAAAATTCAGTGGTGTTGAGGACATTCTCCAAATTATGCAGCCTTCTCATCTTGTTCTTCTGACTTGTTTCTCCCTCACTGTCCCCTAAATTTCTTGTTTAATCTCACCAATTTTTTGTTGCCAATTTGATTCTGTAGAGATATCTTAAAAGAGTATGCCGTTCAAAGCAGATATTCTTCACTCAAACTCAAAACTCATTGCTGTCAAGTCAGAACTTATTCATAATTGACCCTCCATTGAGATTCTGAGGCTGTAAATTACACAAGAGGAGATTGCCAGTCTTTGTTCTAAGGAGTGCTAGGGAGATGCGGCCTTTAGGTTAATAGCACAACTCCCTACAGAGTAGGACACCACAACCCCCTATAATTTTTGCTATTTAAGCTAAACTACTGTTGACCTTTAAGTAGACTTGAGGGGATATTTCTGGTTTAGGCTTAAATATTATCTGAGGGCAGTGGTTTCACAAATTCATCCAAGTTTTGTGAATCTACAAAGTCCTGAGTCCATGAGAGTTTTAAATCCTGATCTCCCTTATGATTGGAATTCATGTACAGAATTTTCATCTAGATGTTCAGTAATATTCTGGTCTCATGGCAGAAAAAGATAAGAAGGCTGAACAACTTGAAGAATGTAGTCTGTGTCCTTGAATTGTACATGTAGAAATTACTGGATTGGTGTATGCTCTGCTGTATGTATTCTCAAAACAACAAAAAAGCAAAGGAAGTAGTTGTACATGGAGGCAATTAGACACATACTCCATTTCTTTATTCTATTCTTGATTTCTCTCCTTCCTGTTTCTCTTGTTATTGTTAGGTGCCATTGAGTCAGGTACAACCCATAGCAACTCTATAACAGATCTGAACCCTGTCCGATCCTGTCCCATGCTCACACCTCCTGAAACAATAGAGCCCATTGCAGCAGTCACCATGTCAGTCCACTAAGTTGAGGGTCATCCTCTCCTTCACCAACCCTCCACCTTTCCAAGTATTATATCCCACTCTATGGAATAGCACCTCCTAGCAACATGCCCAAAGTATGTGAGGTAAAGCTTCATCTTTGCCTCCAAAGAGTACTCAGGCTGTCCCCTGTCCAAGATGTATCTTTGTTCTTTTGGAAGTCCATGGGATGTTCAGTGCTCTTCTCCAACACAGCTCAAAGGCATCAATTCTTCTTCTGTCATCCTTATTCATTGTCCAGCTCTCAGATGCATAACAAATAGAAAGACAATGGCCTGAATCAGATGTACCTTAGTCATTAAACTGATAATCATTACTCCTCAATAATTTGGAGAGGTCCCTAATTGCAGACTTTCTGCCCTGGTAGCCACTAATAAATGTTGGTCTCTATCCACTTGCCTATAACAATGTATTTTTTTAAAATAATTTTAATGAACATTTACAGAGAATTTGGATTTCCATTCATTATTTTTAATAAGCTAAATAATAAAAATTTGTGGGATCTCAAAATGAGAAATTAAGATTTTATCATTAAACGATCTGTCAGTCTTGCCAAAAGTAAAAGAACTTTGTTTATTTTAAAACAGAGCTACAAAAGAAAACAAGGATGATGGCTCAGTTGACACTTCTCAGGTAATCGAGACAGCAGATTCCATTTTTTTCTTCTCTATCATCATTATCATTATATAGCTTTTAATGAGTTCTGTTCGTCCTTTCTAATACAAATGTATACTTGTTAAATGTTCTGCTTAATGCAAATAAAACTCTTTCTTTTGTTCTCCTTACAATCTTATTGATATTCATTCAATTATGCATTCATTCTTAAAAAGATACATAATGGAGAATGAGTGAACAAAACAAATCCCATACCTATTCTTATGAAGACTCTATTGGAAAAGAGAAACAGTGATCAAGTAATCATAAGCATGAGGACATTGCAAATAGGTGCTGTCTCATTGCCATGGTGTTGAAACCAAATTCATAACTGACCTTCAGCAGGTTTTCAGAGGTTATAAGTCTCACAGGAGGAGATTGCACATCTTTCTCCCTTAAAGCCACTGGTGGATTTGAACCACCAGAGAGGTGATGTCTTTGGTTTAGCAGTACAACTCCCTACTGACTAAGCCACAAGAGCTTCCTGGTGGATGCTGTAAGAGAATAAAATAAGGACTTTGTCCAAGAAGATATTTAAGAAAAATCTTCTAAAGGAAATAATGCTGAAACCTAAAGCATGAGGGACGTTAACCCGTCCAAAAGGTTGGAAAAGACTATTCTAGACTGAGAGAACTTCATATTCAGAGACTTTGATGTAGAAACACAGCACAAGTGGAAGAGAAAAAGTTTCTTTAAACCAAAGAAAGAAAAGCAGAAGGAAATGTGTGTAGCAAGAATAGAGGTACAGACATTGACACTTTTATGGAGAATAATATATTAATTCTTGAACACTTCTCATATACAAGGCCTAGTGGCACTGTGATTAAAGAGTTTGGTTGCAAACCAAAAGACTGATGGTTCAAATTTGCCAGCTATTCCGTAGAAGAAAGATGAGGCAGTTAGTTTTTGTTAATATTTACAGCCTTGCAAAAATCCTATGGGGCAGTTTTACTTTGTCCAACAGATCATTTTGAATTGGAATGTGCCTGATGGTAGACCATGGTTCAAGGAGTTGGTGGTACATCACTACACAAATCAGAGCACTCCTCTTCCCACTCCATTGTCATCGAGCTTACATTTTCTAAGCCATCATAAACTATTTGGACTCTACCTGAAAAGCTAAGGAAACTATGAGAAAATTCTAAGTAGCAGGGAGACATGGTCATATTTCTGCTTTTAAAAGACTATCTTGGCTACATTCTGAAGAAGGAGTACTCCAGTAGTTTTCATTCAGAACCACATGCATTTTTTTAATTTAAAAATATAACTTTTTTTAAATATTGGTTTGCTTACAAAGTACCACATGGGATTTTCTGTTGGTTGGTTGGTTGGTTGGTTGGTTGGTGGTTGCTTGCTTGCTTGCTTGGTTTTTAACTTGAAAGAGGAAAAATTTATTAGCTTAGCTCTTGTTCCTAAGATCTGGGTGTATATATGCATTTTTAAAGGACTACTGATAGCAGCCAAAACCACCAGTTATGCGGGAAAATATTTTTGGTGCAATAAAAACAAGTTTCTTCTTAATAGCTGACCTATCAGCACATAGGGGAACTTAGGCATAGCCTCACACTTTTTTTTTCTTTTTATTAAATTTTATTAGTTTTAATGAACATTTACAGAGATTTTGGGTTTTCATTCATTCATTGTTGCACTGTTTTCTCCACCCTCATCCCCAGTTTGTTCTTCTTCCCCCCCCCACCATGTCTGTTTTAATTGTCCAATTGCCACAGTGCTTGTCAAAGCCAGTTCTGATTAATCTCCTTTGTCAGTGTGTCCCTTGCCATTCCCTATCACTCCTCCCTGAGAGAGACTTCACCCTGATTCATAAGGAAAAGGGGATGGCGTATTCTCTTAGCTACTTCCTGCTGAAAAGGGACGCTGTGGGTTTCAGGGTGAATGTCTTCTCTCACTACTCCAAAGGGCCCCCTTGGGAGTAGGAAACACATAGACTATTATGGAGATTGATTTTGGAATTTAGATGCACTGTTATCAATTGTGCTTAGCCGTACATGTTCATATCCTTGAAGATGTAGCCTCACACTTTTTGACAATATAGCAAATGAGATTTGAGAGGAAATAGGTACTGCAAGCCCATAGGTACTAGTTATGAGTAATAGATCCCTTTATAAGAATTTAATGAAAGCCATGAACCATCTCTACTTAAGAAAGATCACAGATTCTAGGCTAATAACCTCTAAGTTATTGATCCAAGTGTAATTATAAAAAATGTTTTACATGGAAGCAGCCCATATATCCAACCACAAGTGAATGGATTGAGAAATTATGGTACATTGACATGATGGAATACTGTGCAGCATGCAGGAACAATAATTTTGAAAATCACTACCTAACCTGGGAAGAACTGGAAAGCATTATGCTAAGTGAACTAACTCAGTCCGATAAGGACAAATACTGTAAAGACCATTATTGTATGAATAGATAACTAGTAAAATGTGTATGAGGATCCAGGGTGTGGAGGGCAGGAGCAGAGGAATGAGGGCAAGGGATTACTCATAGGGTCGCACAGTTTGATGGGTGGGGGAGAGGTGAGTAAAGAAAATGGGGAAGATCCAGTGTGAAAAACAATGTATATATGAACTTTGTAAGTAAACCAGTATAAAATAAAAATTTTCTTTTAAAAATGTTTTAAAAATTTAAGACACAACCTCATTATACAGATGCTTTTATTCTAAAGAAACAACTTAGAAATGGGTAAGAGTTCATTTTAAAGAAATATGCATTTCATGTATTGTGCAATTTTTAAAGAAACAACCCAACTTTCTAATTCTTTTAGGGAAAAAAAGAAACCTTTGGAGAGCTTAGAAATTATGTAGTGCCAGATTAAAAGATTACAGACGGGAACAGTCATTGCCACCTTGTTGACCTGACTTCTCAGGTCAACACAGAAATATAGCCAATAGTTTGGCTAATTTAAATTAGAGGAGAAAAAGGGAAACAGGAACTGTGCAGAGGTATCTTTGCCTAGATTTTTTTCTAAAACAGACCTGAGATAACTAATTCTAAATGTTAGGTCTCACATATTAATAATGAAAATAATAGAGAGAAGAAAATAGTAAAAAATAATTTCCAAGAAGTGTAAAGGTTGTTTTTTTCAAACATTTCATATAATCTTGGTAATGATATTCTCAAATGTGGCTTGTACAGGTTCACCACAGATGTGATTTATTAAATGTATTGATATCACAAACAGGCCTTCTAGAAGATGAACTAATTTTTCAGTCTAATTTTTTTATAATAGAAATAAAATGTGCTGTTTTGATAACCATATGTGTTGCCATTTATATCCTGAAATTTCCCCCTTTTTTGTATCAGCAGGAAAATCAAGATGATATGGGCCTATGGGAGGAGAAATTCAGAAAATTCGTGGATGTCAAAGCTAATGGTAAATTGAAACTAGCATAGCGTTAAATAGATTGTCTCAAAATGTAAGTGATTCTCTTGAGAGTTTGGCACCTAAGCAAATGACTTTTGCAAGGTGAATGAAAATCTTAAGTTTGAGTCTTCTATCCTTCAAGCTCTGGTGGCCTAGTGTAGCCAACCCAAAGGCAACCAGTTTAAATCCACCAGTGGCTTCTAGGGAGAAAGTTGAACAGTTTCCTCTCCTCCTGTGTGATTATACTCTCTGGAAAACTGCTGGAAGGTCAGCTATAAGTCAGTTTCAAATCCACAGCAATAAATGAGTGATCCTTAAGTAAGGGGCAGCTCTGGTGGTGTAGTCTGTTGGGAGTTTCTAACCAAAAGGCAGCACTTCTCTGACAGTTCAAAACCACCAGAGATTCAGTGAAAGAAAGATGACAATCTCCTTCCATGTAATTTACAGCCTTGGAATTCCAATGGCCTGTAAGCTATGAGTTGGTTCTGACGCTATGACAATGAGATAATGATCCTTCAATAATGTATTGCCACAATGAAATGGTGATTTTTATGGCTTTGGTGGGGAATCTAAGAGAAGTATTATTAGCTTCCTAGTGCTTATAGGAGTATATAGGTCAGTATACTGGCTGCTGCATAGTCCAGCAGTTCAGACAGCTATAAATGCCACATTTCATTTCAGAAAAGTAAAGTAACAAAAATAATTTTAGGCTGAGATGCAGGTCCCCGGCTGGTGAGGCCCAGCCTCCGAGGGGTCCTCGTCAGCGCGGACTTCGGAAGCCTTGTTGCCCTTGTCCTCCTTGTCCTTGCAGCTCTCAGCGCTGCTATCCATGGCAGTGAGTGGAGGGACAGAGGGTTCACTGCCAGCCTGGGCTTGCGGGGGCGGCATGGTGGCCAGGACGCTGCTGGAGGCCAGCCTGGCCCGGGTGCTCTACTATCTGGAGCTGCTCTACATTCTCGTCCGCAGGGAAAATGCTGGGCCAGGTCCACCACGACTGGTACAACCACATTGACACTACCGTGCTGCTGGGCGTGCTGCCACTGCGGAGCATGACGCGGCGGCTGGTGCAGGGCAAGAACTTGCACGGGGTGATCACCATGAACGAGTACAAGACGAGGTTCCTGTGTAACACCACCAAGGAATGGAAGAAAGTAGGAGTTGAGCAGCTGCGGCTCAGCACAATAGACATGACGGGTGTCCCAACCGTGGCTAATCTAAAGAAAGGGGTCCAGTTTGCTCTCAAATACAAGTCGCTGGGCCAGGATGTCTATGTGCATTGCAAGGCTGGGCATTCTAGAAGTGCCACCATGCCTATTTGATTCAGGTGCATAACTGGAGTCCAGAAGAGGCTATAGGATTTCTCACCAGGATCTGGTCACATCCACGTAAGACCCGGCCAGTTAGAAGTTCTCAGAGTTCCGTGATATTACTGCAAGGACAGCAAAGGACAAGCCTGGTCACATTAAAGACATGAAGTGTGTGGATTAGAAGGAACTCAATAACAATCCTGCTTGCCACAGAATAAAATAACATTACCAGGACCAAAGGAGCTTATGTCGTCGACTTGACATACGAGAATCGTGCTAATGGGGAACTGTGCTTCATTTGTCTTAACTTTTTTTTAAAGGTTGTGAGTCTGGGAAGGAGAGAGAGACTTAGTACAGCTTCTGTTCATTGGGTAAAGAATGTGGGCCAATGATGGAGAGTCTCTTATTTTCATGATTGGGGTCAAAGAAATACTAATTTCAACAAAATACTGTGCACCTAATGTTGTGCCTAATATTTTGCGAATACCACAAAGACATTTAACACTAGAAAAAGAAGGCAATTTTTATTTCACTGGCTTAAAATAATAATAATTTTATATTCTTCAGATTGTGCATTTCTGTCTGTATTTGGCAGTCTTCATACTGTAGAGCAGGCTTTCTAAGCTTGATTCCAGTTTGTCTCTTATTAACTTTATGATGAATGGGACCTTCTAAAGATTAAATCCTGTGTTCATAAAAAACTTTTTACAAGGTGAAAAAAAAATCTGCCAACTGGGAACAAACATTTGGCAATACCGTCTCAGAAAGTGTCTCATAAAGAAAGTTTATAGAATACTCTTGGCCTCCACAAGAAAAAGACAGATAACCCAATTACAAAATGGGCAAAAGACATGGAATAAATTTTCACAGAGGAAGATACTCAAATGGCCAACAGACACATGAAAAAAATATTCAAAATAACTGGCAATAAGAGAGATGCAAATCAAAACCACTTCAATAGCAGTGGCAGAGTTTAACAGAACAACAAGTAATAAATGTTGAAGAGGCTGTGGTGAGATAGGAACTCTTATACACAGTTGGTGAGGTTATAAAATGGTAGACTCTTGGCAGTTTGATGCTTCCTCAAAATGCTGAACATAAGGCAGGACTCCACTTCTGGCCGGCAGGATCCTTGGTGGTGGCCGCAGGGCAGCGACATGGAGACTCCCAGCAGCCCAGTGACCACGCATGTGCTGGACACTGCCTCAGGACTACTGGCTCAGGGCCTTTGTGTCAGTCTGTCTAGGCTGGAGGTTGAGGGCCACCGTCAACAGAGGATGGAACTAAGAACAAGCCACATGGACACAGACGGCCACTGTCCTGGGCTGCTGGAGCCTGGCCAGATGAAAGCAGGTGTCTACAAGCTCACCTTCAGACACTGAGGCCTACTGGAGGAGGAAGGGCGAGGAGAGCTTCTACCCTCAGGTGGAGCTGACTTTTCATGCTCTTATCTGAGTCATCCACACCTCTGGAGGACCATCCTCAAAACTGACTCTTCATGTTCTTATCTGAGTCATCCACACCTCTGGAGGACCCCTTAGTCCAAGTCTCCAGATAATGGAGCCGAACTGGGCCTCACACCCCTGGGGGTCTCTCTTCTCAGGTGTTCTTCACTGTCACCGACAAGATGCGGAAGCTCCATGTGGCCCTGTTCCTGAGCCCCTGGTCCTACACCACCTACCGTGGGAGCTAGCTGCGGGAGGACCGCTGCTTCCTGTGGAAGGTTCCTGGTGCCTTTCCCCTCTCCTGCTCCTTAGGTCTCAATAAAGTCAGGCTGGCACCTTAAAAAAAAAAGCTGAACATAGACATTTCATATGACCCAGCTATTCCATTGGTTGGAATATACTCCTAGAAAATGAGAACTGAGGATCAAACAGACTTGTACACTACTGTTCATAGCAGCATTATTCACCACCGCAAGAACATGGAAACAGCCCAGATATCCAACCACAAACGAATGGATTGAGAAGTTGTGGTACATTCATACAGTGGAATACTACACAGCACGCAGGAACAATGATTTTGTAAATCACTACTTAACTTGGGAGGGACTAGAGAGCATTATGCTGAGTGAACTAACTCAGTTCCACAAGGACAAATACTGTATACAACCATTATTGTAGAATGAGTGTGAGAATCCTGGGGGGTTAGGGTGGAAGCAGAGGGGTGAGGATGGGCGGAGGGGAAGGGATGTTAATCATAGGGTTGCATAACTCGATGGGTGGGGAGGATGAAGGAAATGGGGAGGATCTTTTGTGAAAAACAATGTATCCAAACTTTGTAAATAAATTAGTATAAAAAATTTTTTAAATTAATAACTATTTAGAGCTTTTAAGCTATAGCACTCCAAACCAACACACCTCCTTCCCCAGTCTCCCCATCATCCATGTGGAGACCCACTTACATATACAACTCTCACTAGGTTAATCATGCGTGAGAAAAGAGGTGATGTTTATCTCTTTAAGAGGCACCTCTCAGCTTCTTAGGGCTTATCTAGTTGGAAAAAATACTTGCTTTTTCCCCTTCTTCTCTCCAGCCCATGGAATAATAAATCTGTACTAACTTCTTCAAATTCGTTGTGTGTATCTGTCTTTCCATATGGGTGATGATCAGATCTGACAACAGGCCCTAGCTTTTTTTTTTCTTTTGCAGTATTCATAAGCACTTTATTACGCAGATCTGGGAGACAGCAAGTCACCTCTGAGACTGCCTCAGGCTCTAGCTTTTTAAGTAGTGCTTTTTCTGGTGCTTTTTCTTTATAGCATTCACTTGTTTTCTATTAAGATATATATGAATTAAACTACTTTTATTTAAGAGTAAATATTTTAAAGTGAGTTTTTAATCCTTGCTATCTCAGTTATTTGCATCTTCATATATAAATTACATATATAATATATATTAAAAATAAATTATAACATAATTTATATTATATACCATTAATGCCTATTTTGGACATGCTTTTAGGAGAGGCTCTTCCTTGGAAAGGGACATAATACTTGGAAAGATTGAGGGTCAGTGAAGGAGAGGAAGACCCTGAACTGGACGGATTGATACAGTGTCTGTGGCAATGGACTCAAATGTGTCGAGGATGATTAGGACAGTGCAGCACAGGACAGAGTTCAGATCTATTGTTCATAAGGTTGCTATGAGTTGTACTTGACAGCATTTAACAGCAACTGTGTGTGTGTGTGTGTGTGTGTGTGTGTGTGTATCTACAATCACAGGTAGGAAGTATTTTGAAGAGCCAAGAAAAGTCCTCTTGGTGCTCTTGAATTACAGACCTTGTAGGTAGTCACCACCTCTACCTCCTGAGAAGATTGGCATGAAAATGTGATCAGTATGAAGACACATAATCATTCATCTGATGAAGAGGAAAATTGCCCAATATCCTTTGCTTCATAAAGCAAAGATGTAATATAGTTTAAGAAAACTTTGTAACAAGATTTCATAGATTAAAAATAAATAATAATTATAAATGAGGACACAAGGAGCTTCAGCTCAGAGCTAAGAAAACATAGTAAGTGACAGAACTCTACCTTATGCAACTTTTTATTCTCCGTAACAGTTTGATAGAATATCTCACAAGTGTCAGCACATGATGTCTGGTGATTGATCTGGGCAGCTCAAATCTCTTAAGCCTAGTCGTCAAGTTACCTTGCTATATGCAGTTTTTTAAAATCTATTGTTGGATAATCCCATTGAGAAGCAGCACTCAGTATTGATACTCTTCCTGCAGGTCCTACCTCCATTGGTTTGGATTTCTCCTTGAATGGATTCAAGCATCTTTATGGGATCCCACAACATGCAGAATCACACCAACTGAAAAATACTAGGTAAAACATTTCTATTTTAACTAGATATCTCTAGTTTCTAGATTGAAAAAAAATATTTGAAAGAAACACCTGCAGGATATCTAAACTAGTATTCATCTGTATGTAATATTTACTTCTTTGATACTGCTTGTAGATCTTTAAGAAGTTCTGTTGAATGATCACTCATGGTAGTTGCAAATTTCATTTAATTTTTGGCAAAAAATAGGCAATTAAAAAATTGTGTTGCTGAATCTGAAAATATAGCAGAAGCAAAAAGAAGAACTGCCTGGTTGGATATGTTAAGCTCTTTATCACCTCTATCTCCATTCAGTTTACTTTCATCTCTCAAAGAGGCCTTTCTGTCAAATCCTGGGAGAATACAGTGTAGAAATCACTGATCTAGATTTTAGCAAAAAGAACAATGAACCAAGAATAGGAAAGTGTGACATTTCATATCACCTGTGTTTCTTTAGAAATAGCATATCAGGCTAATTGTTGAAAGATAGATGCCAGAGGCATCAGAGATTCAACGACACAGAGCCTTGATCAGAAAATAAAAGAAAACTAATTTGATCTTAGGAAATATTCAGAGTGCCTTCTGCCATCCATTTTGATCTTTTCTTCCTCCTCTTTGTAATGACCTTTTGTTTTCTTCATGGATCATATCCTTGATGTCATCCCACAGCTCATCTAGTCTTCGTTCATTACTGTTCAATGCCTCAAATCTGGTTTTGAGATGGTTTTCACTTCAGGTAGGATAGACTCAATATTGTATTTGTTTCTTGTGGATTTGTTTTCAATTTCTTTAGCTTCAATTTGAACTTGCACATGAGTAGTTGATGGTCTGTTTCACAGTCAGCACCTGGCATGGTTTTTGTGGCTGATGCTAAGTTTCTCCATTGATTCTTTCCACAGATGTAATCAGTCTGATTCCTGTGTCTTTCATCAGGTGAGCTCCATGTGTGTAGTCACCACTTAGGGTTTTTTGTAAAAGGTATTTGTAATGAATAAATACTTGATTGCACAAAAATAATTTTCTCTCTAGCCTTATTTCTGTCACCAAGCCTATAATTTCCAACTACTAGTCCTTTTTGCTTGGACCCAACTTTTATATTCTAGTAACTTCTTATTATTAATGAATCTTGGCTGCATGATCAATAGATTTCAGACTATAAAAGTTGTTGATGGAAATTTTCCATTTCTTCCTCTTTGGCTTTAGTCATTGATGCATATATTTGAATGGTAGTGTCATTACCAGGTATGTGTGTGGATAGTAGTAACCTGTTACTCATAACATTGTGTTTCAGGAAGGATCTAGAAATAGTCTTTTTTTTTTATGGTGAGAAAAATTTGTGTTTAGAATTAGCCACTGGACTCAGTTTAGATGATCTCTAAACAGGATGTTGGCAACATCCTGTTTATGTAGAGCTCTTTAGATGTAATAAAAGAAAAGCCTTCCAGTAAAAAAGATAGACACACACACAAAAAAAAAAATCCAAAGCATCATAGTCAGGAGCAAGTCGAACATACACCTTCTCTCCGTCAGTCCTAATCAAAGTATTGACCTTAGCCACATTAATGTCATAGAGCTTCTTTACAGCTTGTTTAATTTGGTGCTTGTTGGCCTTGACATGCACAACGAACACAAGTGTCTTGTTATCTTCTATGTTCTTCATGACTCACTCAGTAGATAGGGGAAATTTGATGAGTTTGGTCAAGCTTGTTTCTCCTGCCGGGGCTGCCTTCAGAGTCTCAGCATCTTAGGCCCCTGGAAGGTGAGTGACATGCAGATCTTCTTTTTTTTTTTGGCTGTGGATGCCCTTCAGGACTGCCTTCTTGGCCTTTAATGCCTTTGCTTTGGCTTCAGTTTTGGGAGGGGCAGGGTCTTCCTTCTTTGCTTTCAGCACCATCTTTGTAGAAAGGAAAATAGTCTTTCTAACTATGAACTGAACCTCATTTTTCTTCACGTTTTCATTCTTGGCATAGTAAATCATATAATTGATCAAAGTGGCCAATACCCATCCAGCTCAGCTGACTATTGCCAAGGATGTCAGTCTTTATGTGTTCAATATCTTTTTTAAGGATGCCCAGTTTTCCTATATTCATACTTCATATGTTCCACTCTCCATTTATTAGTGGATGTTTGCAGCTATTCCTCTTCATTTCTTGTGTCTTCCAAAATGAGGGCCCAGCGTCCAGTTCTCTATCTAATAGTCTAGGTATGCTCTGTTGTTCATAGGGTTTTCCAAGGCCTGTTATTTCAGAAGTGGATAACCAATACTCCTTCCTGGTCTGTCTTAAGCTGGGAGCTCCCTAGTCTCTCTTAACCTGTGACACAATGACTATGACAGAGTGACTGTGGCAATTGGGTCAGGTGTGTCAGAGATGGTGAAATTGGTTCAGGATAGGGCAAGGGTCACAGCCATTGTTCATAGGGTCACTATGAGTTATAGTTGACTCAATGGAACATAACAACCGCAACATCAGTTTGATCTAAGGGAGCTCTGTTTTCCTAGTGGTATGGAGTTTTGCTGCCAAGGCTTATAGTTCAAATCCATTAGCTGCTCTGTGGGAGAGAGATGGGTAGTCTCCTCCTGTATAATTTGCAACCTCTGAAAATCTGCTGAGAGGTCAACTATTAGTCCCAATACAATAGCAACAATAGTTTACTATAGGTTTCTAGGTTCAAATGCTTAATAGTTAGGCATTGTGACACACATATCAGAAACAGGGCACGAAACATTGCACTGAGGCATGCTATTCTCACACTAGCCTGAGCTCTGTGCCCCTACCCAGTTAATTTCCTAATGGTCCCTAATCAGCACTATGCAAGCCTGTTGTGACACCATCCTTCAATCATAGCTGCAGAGAGATTCTCACAAAATTTGTCAATAATACACGCTGAGCCTGCTGTTATAATGGAAGATTCCCAGGAAGCAGCCTTCTGCTCACAAGAGATACTTGCTCACATGATTATGCCCATTAATTGTCACATGAGGACATGTCTTACAAGTGAAAGGAAGGAAATCCGCATTCATGAAGGCTGGGTCAGGAAACCTTTACAAAGTGATGAGAGTTGAAACTTGTCAATATGCTTATGACCTCAATATTTCTTATATATACACACACACACAGAGATATATACACACACATACATACACATACATACATACATACATACCTGTATAGACACATACATATGTACACATACATACACATGTATACACATACATACATACATATATATATACACACACATATATATTTATGTTCATAATTAATGGTAAACCTTATTTGGCTTTACTATCTCACCCCCAACCTCTCATCCCAGATCCCCTTAATTTAGTCTATTGTCAAACAATAGAGATGCACTATTTCATATATTTATTTATATATAAACGCATGCACACATATAGTTTACAGGGAGCACTGGTGTCCTAGTGGTAAGGAACTAGCTGCTCTATAAGCCCAAAGGCAAGTGGTTTGAAACCACCAGCTGCTTCATGGGAGAAAGATGAGCATTCTTCTCCCAAGGGGGTTTCAGCCTCTGAAAACCAAATGGAGGATCAGCTATGAGTTGGTTCCAACTCGATGGCTCATAAAAACAACATATATAGAATGTAACATTTGTTTATTACCTATCTAATTTAGATACTTTGCAAAAAAATTACTTTTTATTTGTATATTTCAGTGATGAAGATGCTTACCGTCTTTATAACCTGGATGTCTATGGATATAAGATACATAGCAAAATGGGTGTTTATGGTTCAGTGCCTTATCTCCTGGCCCACAAACTGGGTAGAACTGTAGGAATTTTCTGGTTGAATGCCTCAGAAACATTGCTGGAGATTAATACAGAGCCTGCAATAGAGGTGAGCTATAAATCAGGTCTGTGTACCACATTTACATTGGAAGGAAGCATACAGTGTTGTGATACTTTTACCAAAGGCTTTGCAGTATAACCAGCAAATGCTAATAGGGCCTACCAGAGGAATAGACTGTTACTCACATACACATGAGTCTTCCAAGCGAGAAAGAAATATTTCAGATTTTTATGACATTCCTTTCCCAGGACACACTGACCCAGATGGACTCTGTTGCTCAACAGAAAGTCAAATCTCAAACTAACGTGCACTGGATGTCAGAGAGTGGAATCATTGATGTCTTTCTGCTAACTGGACCTACACCTTCTGACGTCTTCAAGCAGTATGCACACCTTACAGGTATTTGTATATATAGAAGTTCTAGATTCATTATATTTTCTGTATGCTATGTATTACTATTGTACTTTAATATTTAACCTCACTTAGAATTTGTAAATAGCTTAACATAACTTCTTAAGGAGCAAACATTCAACTCTTACCCTCATCTCGTACAGTTTGGTCAAATACGACCTTGGGTCTAGAATGCTCTAATGCTTAATATTTCCCTTTTTTCAACCCCTTAGATAATGGATCACTCTCTCACTCTTATTGTCATCTAGTTGGAACCAACTCATAGCTGACCCTTCACCAGGTTTTCAGAGGCTGTAAATGACATGGGAAGAGATCACTCATCTTTCTCCCACAGAACCACAGGTGGATTCAAACTGCCAGAGAGGTGCCACCTTTAGGTTAACAGCACAACTCCCTACCTATTATGCCACCAGATAGCTAGTTACTGTCAAGTTTACTCCAACCTGTGACAGCTTTATATACAACAGATTGAAATGCAATATGCTCCTGTGTTGTTCTTATGACTGCCAGCATGTTCATGCCCATCACTGACACTGTTGTACCAGTCCACCTCACTGAAGAGTTCCCTTATCCTTGCTGGCCCGCTCCTCCACCAAACAGGATGTCTCCTTCCAGTGATTGATTAATCTTACCTGATGACATGTTCAAAGCAAGCCAGTTGGGCCAGAATTTCATCAACTGATTTTCAGAAGTCTAATGCTAGGCCTGTCTTCCTGTCCAGGAGCTTTTCTGAAATCTGTTTATTATGGTGATCCCACTGGGATTTGAAATACTAGTAGCATAGCTTCCAACTCATAGTAACACACCAGCCACTACAGTACAACACACTGTCAGGTGATAATTAGAGCCTTTGACCTCCTGAGTCTTCCCTACATTTATCTCAACTCAAACTTTTCACTCTTCTGTTCAATGAAATATACCATTGGCTTTAGCAATAAAGCATTTTATCTCTAAAGTATATATAACAGAAAAAATGCACTATTTCAGTGATTTGAGTGATTATTTTTTTGTAAAATTTCTAATCACTTCTTTGGAAGAAATAAAGTTTTATATTCTTTGTGTGATTCAGAAAACTACTCTATCTTTACTTCAAATTTACTGTCAACAGTGGCAAAGTGATAACTAGATTACACTACTATCTCCTTGCCCAAGGACTCCACAGAGTGGAAATATATTTACATACGTATCACTTTTTTTCTAATCTAGCCTCAAAAGCAGAGTCAGTGTGTTCCATTCTCTTATTGTTGTTGTGGTTTGCTATTGAGTCAGAACTGACTCATACCTGACCCTCCAGCAAGTTTTTCAGTGGCAGTGATTCACATAGGAGGTGATTGCCTGTCCTTCTCCTGTTCAGCCTCTGGTGGATTTGAACTGTGTGCCTTCAGCATTGCAGTACAGCTTCTTAATACTAGATCACCAGAGCTCCCTATTATTAGAAGTCTACATTCAAAGAGAAAGAAATCACGTCCCAACTTTTATTATTTTCTTAATAATTTTAATGAACATTTACAGAGATTTTGGATTTCCGTTCATTCATTGCTGCACTTCTCTCCCTGCCCAGCCCTCCCTCTCCCCCCCAGTTCACTCCTCTCTTTGAAAAGTAAAATAAACACTCTCTACCTGGTACACAATCCCCCCGCACACCTCCCACCGCCCCAAGTACATTCCACTATGCAATTATAATTGTGGACTCTTGTGATAACTATCATACATCGCTTTTAAATTATTCTCTCCCTCATCTGTTTCAGTGCAGTATACACAATTTATCCAGTTTTTCTCAGTCTAACCACCACCCTGATATCTGTCCCATTTTACAGCAATGGCACCATGCATGCAATATTTGTCTTTTTGCGACTGAGATATTTCACTCAGTATAATGTCCTCAAGGCTCACCCATTTTGAATAATATCGCATGAGTTCCTTGTTTTTCAATGTAGCATAGTATTCCATTGTGTGAATATACCACAGCTTCTCTATCTATTCGTTTGTTGATGGGCACCTGGGTTTTTTCCAGCTCCTTGCTATTGTGAACAAAGCTGTGATAAACATGGGTGTGCATATGTCTCCTTGGATGTCAGTTATGGTCTCTTTGGGATATATTCCCAGTAGTGGAATTGCTGGGTCAAATGGTATCTCTATTGGCAACTTTTTGAGAAAGCGCCATACCGCCTTCCACAGTGGTTGCACCATTTTACACTCCCACCAGCAGTGAATAAGGGTTCCAGGTTCTCCACAACCTTTTCAGCATTTGTTGCTTGCTGTTCTGTTAAATTTTGCTATTCTGACTGGGGTGAGATGATATCTCATAGATGTCTTGATTTGCATCTCTCTTAGAGCTAGGGATTTTGAACATTTCTTCATGTGCTTGTTGGCCAACTGAATGTCTTCTTTGGTGAAGTGTCTGTTCATATCCTGTGTCCATTTTTCAATTGCATTATTTACCTTTATCTTGTTGTGGTACTCAAGTATTTTATAAATTCTAGGTATAACTCCCTTATCTGACCTGTCATTACCAAATACTTTTCCCCAGTCTGTCTTCCCTTTTTACCCTGTTGGAAAAGTTTTTGGATGTGCATAGGGATTTGATTCTTAGAAGGCCCCATTCATCTATTTTATCTTCTCCTGGTTGTAGAAGTTCCCACCTTTTAATAGGAGGAATGACAGAGCATGTGGATATGGGAAGATACCCACCTATAAATAAGTTCTGTCAAAGACAGTGCCAGCTACAGTTCCTTTAAAACCTTGCTTTTGGAAAGAATGAGTCTGGTTGATAGAAAAGTGCTTTGAAAACACTGGAGCTACCTACCACTCTGTTCATGAAACCCAGTTTAAGTTTAGTGATAAACCATTGACTCCTGATGAGGATTTCACTCAGTCATATCCCTCTTTCCCAATATAGTTACAGTATACTTTTTTTGTTAAATCAGTGTCAATTATGTATATTTTTCAGATGCTCAAAGACATCAGTTACTTAATCCATTCTTTGTTCTTCTGGAGATGTCCATCTGACGTTCCTCTGTCTTCCTGATCCCACATTGACTGTCCTGTCCTGGCTTAGTCTCTACTCACAGGACCTGCCTTTGGTATCTTCCAAAGTGGGGTCCCTACCTTCTTGGGTCCTGTGGTTTTCTCTTTTGAGGTTTATTCTTTTGCTTGTTTTTGTTTTGAAGTATCTTTTGGTAGTTCCCTAAGAAACGCTATTCATTCACTCACTCACAGTGAGTACATTGCCAACTCAGCTGATCCTCCAGTGGGTTTTCAGAGACTATAAATCATGGGAGGAGATAGCCTTTCTTACTCCTGCAAAAGAATTGATGGATTTGATCTGCCAGCCTTTAGACTGGAAGCACAACTCCTTATCCACTGAGCCACTGGAGGTATACTCTGTGAGTTCTAGCAGGTAGGACATCTCCTTTCTACCTTCACCCTTGATTGATGATTTGGCTTGCTAGATGGAAAATTATTTCCCCTCAGGATTTGAAGCTATTTCCCTGTTACCTTTTCTCTTCTTTCTCCAAAATAATTCTGCTTCTATTCCTTTGCATGTGATCTATATTTAGTCTCTGAAAGCTTCTAATGACTCATGTCACTACCTGGAGGGCAAGGACTAATTCTTCTCAATATTCTGAGTACCAAGTTCAGTGTTTAGAGGGCCATTCTTAGTGTTACTCAGAAAAGTTTACTGAAGAACAGTGATGATCCTGGTGATTGGTTTTGTTGTCATTTTTCTCTTTTAGGTAGACAAGCCATGCCCCCACTTTTTTCTTTGGGGTACCATCAGTGCCGCTGGAACTATGAAGATGAGCAGGATGTAAAAGCCGTAGATGCAGGATTTGATAAACATGACATCCCTTATGATGTTATGTGGCTGGACATAGAGCACACTGAGGGCAAGAGGTACTTCACCTGGGACAGGAAAAGATTCCCCAAACCCAGAAGAATGCAAGAGCTGCTGAGGAGCAAAAAACGTAAGGTAAAATATGCATATGTTTCTAAAGTCTTAACTTACAAAGGCTTTTTAATATTTTTTTTTTTTACTTACCTAGGCACGTTAATTGAGAACCATTTCCTTAAAATAACCATAAAGTTAGTGCTTTCAAATAGTATTTATGATAAGGGTGGGGGAAGAATATGGAAAAGATTCATCTATTCATCCATCTTTGCTTTAGTTATCTGGATCTCTGTAAAGACAAGGAGCCTAGAATTTCCAGTCCCATTTGTTGTGGACACCCTATAGTGGTGAGATGGGCCATCCACACAGAATTTGGTTTGGGAATCCAAAATGGTGAAAAGATTTTTTTACACAAATAATGAGGCTTTCTGCAGGAAAAGGACTGTAGGGTATGGAGCAGGGTTTATGTGGTTTGAGCAAGGCTTGCTTCCAAGGTGGTCCAAAAATAGCTTGAGAGTGCTGGAAAAGGAGAATGGCTGGGCTATTATGGTAGTGAAGAGTGACTCAAGAGCCAGCTGATCTATTGATTAAGTGCTTGACTACTAATGAGAAGGTCAGTGACTCAAACCTACCAGCAATTCTAGTAAGAAAAGAAATAAACTAGAAAATTAGAAGAGGGAAGTAGAAAATTGCAGTGCATATACTGCTTCCTCTTCTGGTGGTGGTGGTAATAATGATGAGAAGAGGGAAAGAGAAGAAAAAGGAGAGGGGAGAAGTAGGGAGACTCATATGTACCAGGTGAATTTACCAGGTAAATTGATACCTGTAGTAACCTCTCTTTGAGATAAAAGTTGCCTTTTCAAACCATTACTTTGACCCATTCCTATCTTAATATCTAATTTCCTAATTAAATAGCTACCACTTACCAAGCACTTATTATGGCCCAGACAGTATGATAAAAACATTGTTCCACCTGTAATTGTTGTTGTTACGTGTCATTGAGTCAGAACAATCTCATAGCTGACCCTCTAGTGGGTTTTTAGAGACTGTAAATTGCTACAGAAGGGCAAGGACTGCAGCCTTCAATGTGGATTGAGGCTCAATATCAGAAAGACAAAGATTCTCACCTCTGGGCCAATTGGCAGCATCAGGATGGACGGTGAAGAGACTGAGATTGTTAACAGCTTTAGTTTGCTTGGTTCCATAGTCAACACTCTTGGCACTAGCAGCCAGGAAATTAAATACATAATGTGATGGGAAAGTCTACTGTTAGGGACCTCTCCAAAGTACTGAAGAACAATAGTGTCACTTTGGAGACTAAGGTGTGCCTGATACAGGCCATGGTATTTGCAGTCACTTGCTATGCATCAGAGAGCTGCACAATGGTGTTGGAGAAGAATATTGAATATAACATGGACTGCTAAGAAAATGAATACGTTCAACCTGGAGAGGGTTAAACCAGGCTGCTCCTTGGAGGCAAGGATTCTGAAGCTTTGTCTGACGTACTTTGGACATGTTGCAAGGAGGGACCAGTTCTTGGAGAAGGAAATCATGCTTGGAAGGGTGGAAGGATGGGGCAGAAGAAGAACTTGAATAAGATGACGTGACATAGTGTCTGGGGTAATCGGGGTATTTGTGTCAGAGGCAATGAAATTGGCTCAAGATAGGACAGGGCTTGGAGCTATTGTACATACATAGGGACACTATCAGTCACAAGCAATTTGAGAGCACATAACAACCACAACAAAGGAGTTCTGTAGCCTAGTGGTAAGAAGCTGTGTTGCATCCTGAAGACGTGAAGTTTGAATCCACTGGCTTCTCCATGAGAAAAAAGATGCACAGTCCCCTTTTCTGTAGTTAACTGGTGGAAGATCAGCTAATCGGTCCGTTCCAACTCAGTGGTACACATTAATGTGCATTTTGTTTTATGACATTAATTAGAATACTCACATTTTAAACACACCCTTCCTGCATTCTCCCTATGATTTTTGCTACTGTTAATAATTCTATCCTACCCCTTCCTGCCTTCTGAGCTTTATCCAAGGGTAATTACTCCCTTTTTGATCGTTACAATTGATTGTTTTAGCGAGTGTGTACCTCCCTGGTATCACTGTTCTATTTCTATGCCTGTCTATTGTTTAGCTAGAAGTCAAGGGATAGGAATGAGTTTAGTGCAAGTTTGAAGAGTGACTGAGTAAGGGCCATAGTTTTTGGGGTTTTCTGCCAGTCTGTCATACCAGCACTACTGGCCACATTTATGGTTTTGACTTTTGTTGCATGTCTCCCCGCCCCCACCACAATACTCTGTCCAATATCATCTACTATGATCCCTATTAGAGCAGTCAGCAGTGGTAGCTGGGCACCATATAGTGATTTTGGTTTCAATATAATAGAGGTTGAGGTTCACATGGTCAAGAGTCCTTTGGAATGATTGTTTCTATATATCTTTGCCTTTCCTCCCTCCTCTTTGTTAGGGACAAGAAGAGGCACATATTTGAAGCTTATATGGCCACTTATAAGATTTTTAAAGGCTGCAGTCCTACTTACCAAAATGAGTACAGAATACGGTGGACTCTTTTATACCACCTTGATGCACCCAGAGACTATGGCTTTGAGGCTCTAAGACCACTAACTCATTCTCTCGTGGTACTCAGTTGTGATTAAGAAGTTTGTACAGCTTTCCCCTCTTTTGGCTCTGTTACAAACATGGATATATTTACAGTACATTTGATCTTTTATGCATCACTAAACATCACATTGAAGTTGTCAATTATTTTGTCTTGCTTGTATCAGCAATCAATACACTTGGTACCAGCAGTCAGTAAATCAGGAGACATATTGCAATGGGCAAGTTTGCTGTCAAGGATCTCTCCAGAATGCTGAAGAGTAATGATGTCAGTTTGAAAACTAAACTGTGCCAGTCATTTCCTCTGCATCTGAGAGTTGGGTAATAAATAAAGGTGACAGAAAAAAAAAGTATGCTTTTGAGTTGTGATGCTGGAGAAGAGTACTGAATATCCCACAGACTGCCAAAAGAACAAATAGATAAGTCTTGGAAAAAGTACAGTCAGAGTGCTCCTTGGAAGCAAAGATGAAATTTCATCTTTCATGTTTTGGACATGTTGCTGAGTGAAGCTATTCCTTAGGGAAGAACATTATGCTTGGAAAGATGGAGGGTCAGAGAAGGAAAAGAAGACCCCCAATGAGATGGATTGGTACAGTGACTTCAGCAGTGGGCTCTAGTGTGTCAGAGATGATGATGGCAAAGGATAGGGCAAGGTTCAGGCCAGCTGCTCATAGGGTAGCTGTGAGAAGTACTCAGATCAACAGTACCTAACAACAATAGCAACGAGACAGCCAGGTAAAAGTGTCACAAATGGCATATTAAGATGTTTGGCAAAAATAATTATGAAAGAGCATTGGCCTGCATAACATGGAAACAGCCCAAATGTCCAGCTACAATCAAATGTATTGAGAAATTGTGATACATTCACATAATGGAATACTATGCAGCACACAGGAGCAGTGGTTTTGAAAATCACTACATAACTTGGAACAGACTGGAAGGCATTATGCTGAATAAATTAACTCAGTCTCATAAGAATAAATACTGCATAGGACTGTTATGGTAAAAACAAAAGGATAACTAGTAAAACATGTACAGAGAACCAAAGGGTAAAGGGGTGGGAATGGGCCGAGGTAAGTGTGTGAGGGGATTAAAAAGTTACACTATTTGGTGAGTGGAAGGAGGTGGAGTAAGAGACATAGGAAAGATCTGGCAAGGATCTGCAAAGACAGTGTAATGATGGGATCTTTAATGGTAAATGATTTTTATAACATAATGAATGAGAATGACCGTATGAAACAGTGTGGATGAAGGATAGTGTGAAGCACAATGTGTACAAACCAATGTCATATTTAAATAAATAAATAATTTTTTTAAAAAAAAATAGTAAGCTGCTGAGGATGCTTCCCTTAAAAAAACTGCACAAACCAAAAATGAACATTGGCCTGGTTTTTATATCTACATTTAAATTTTCATTAGTGTATGAAAGTTACAGGGTTTTACCTGTAAAAATACCTGTAGTATTTTAATACTAGTATTTTTTTGCATAAAATTTGAATCCTAAAACTATGGCAAAACCATATAAATGCACATGTCCATAAAATAATTTATAAGATCTTTAAACCTTTATCCCCTAACAGCTTGTGGTTATCAGTGATCCCCACATCAAGGTTGATCCCAACTATTCATTGTACATTCAGGCCAAAGAACAAGGCTTCTTTGTGAAAAATCATGAAGGGGGAGACTTTGAAGGAATCTGCTGGCCTGGTAAGAGATCACTTTCATACACTTAATAATTCTGCCTATTCAATCCCAAACAATCCAACAGTTAATCTCTAATTGTTGAGTTGAAAGCAACTCATGGCTGACACTCTGGCAGGTCTCTGGGGATTGCACACAGGAGGAGACTGCTGGTTTTCTCCTGTGAAAGCACTGATGGACTACCAGGGGAACATGGCTCTTGGATTAACAGCATTATTCCCTACAAATTATGCCACCAGAGCTCCTTCATTCCCTACAGATGAGCTATTCCCAGCCTCCTTAACCACATAGCTTTGCCTTCCTTTGTATCTTTCATCTAACACCTGGTACAGTGTCTTTTGTATGTATTTATCAATGAATGGATGATAAATAAACCAACAAGCAAACTTTCATGGCATACTATTACCCTACACATAGAAATTAGAAAAGGGAAAGAGTATTGTGTAATCTCTTGCCATGTCACTTCTCTTTGCCCTCTTAGTTCACAGCTTTGACTTCTCAGTCCTTCATGAGTAACCACATTTTCCTCTGGCAACTTTGTATTCTTATCGTAAAAATTATTAGTGTAAAACCTTAGTAGGAACTCATCAAGGACAAAGGAAATAACCATAAGGTTTAATTTTATTTTAATATCTAGGGATAAATTCATGTACTATAGAAAAACTCCATTTCTTTTCTCCTCATTACAGGACTTCTAAACCATATACCTGTTCTCTTTAAGAGTAGAATGGTCACTCCAGAATCCTTAATGGAATATTTCATGGCTGTTGTTAACGACCAGCTTTATCTTGATGTTCCTTCATTGACATTTCCTTGTGACTCTTGTGTTGAAAGGTCTAATTATTGTTCCCGGTCCAGACCATGCCTCTGTGCCAGATACATGTTACCTTTGCTATAAAGTGCCCATTTATTATGCAGCTATCATATCAGATATTCTCATGACACATGTACAATGAACACCTCTTGTCCTAACAGCCTGCCTATTTCTCTGCCTCTACAGGTCTCTCTTCTTACCTGGATTTCACCAATCCCAAAGTCAGAGAGTGGTATTCAAGTCTTTTCGCTTTTCCTGTTTATCAGGTTTGCTTTTATTCTTCATTTTTGCTCTTTCATAGTTCTTGAAAGGATAAAGGTGAAGGGAAAGGACTGAATGAAACTAATAATTCTTGGTAGATAATGTTAACATAAAATAGTAAATGTTAATAGATAGAACTCTTACTTGGTTGGTCCTTGTCTCTTTCTCTCCTTCCCAGGACAGATTCATCAAAGTGAAGAAGCTCCCTTCTTAGGATGCAGAATTTCCAAACCCCAACCAATCCCATAGCTCCCTCGGTGGGCCTAGGCTATGACTGGTCTCACTAGAACCAATAAATAGCAGAGCCCACCTGAGGCTCGTTCCCTCTCCTTTTCTGGCAGCATCCCAAAAGGTTTGGGTCCACCCTGATCTTCTTTTTTCTTTAACTCTTTTGCAGGGCCTTTCACCAACTCTTTTGCATTACTTTAATAAATCCTTTTCACCCTAATTCCTGAATTACCACTGTGTATACATCTGTTCACTTATTTACAGTCAGCCTAACTCACCCCCTTGCAGGATATGATGGCAAGTGGAGAGAGAAAAAGAACTCTAGTTTTAGCATGTTTCAGTAAATAATGCTTATATTGAATGGTATTTTACAGACCTTAGTGGTGCTGGGAGAGGTGTAATAGGCATCATTGTTGTGTACTGTCAAGTCAGAATAAACCCATAACTGACCCTCTGGCAGGTTTTCAGAGTCAGTTAATTGCATAGGAGGAATCTGTTCATCCTTCCTCTGCGGAGAAGCTGGTGGATTCAAACCACATGCCTTCAGGATTGCAGTGCAGTTTCTTGCCATTAAACCACCAGAGCTCCCTAATAGGCATTATCAAATGCAACAAAGCTGTGATTTGACCTCTAGTATATGATAAAGTGTTTGACACACTGGTAGCATAGCTTCTAGTATCACAGCAACCCACAAGCTATGCCAGTACAGCAGACTGATAGGCCTTATTAGTACTATACTAATAATGGCAAATGAAAAGCAAGCAAATATACATACACTTGGCTATAAAGTAGCTAGCAGCTTGCAGATCAATTCCCAACATAATGAACTGACAAACAGGTCTTATGGATTACATCTCAACATTAAGAAAACAAAGGTCCTTACCACTGAACCAATAGACAAAATCATGATAGAGAAAGGTCAACGATTTCCTCTTAATTGAATACACAGTCAACACCCTTGGTACTAGCAGTCAGGAGATCAGAAGACACATTGCTTTGGGCAAGTCTGCTGTCAGAGACAACTCCAAATTCTGAGGAGGAATGATGTCAGTTTGAAGACTAAGGAGCACCTGATTCAGGCCATGGTCTTTCCAGTCACTTGCTATGAATCTGAGAGCTGGACAGTGAATAAGGATGGCAGAAAAAGGTTTGATACCTTTGAATTGTGGTGTTGGAGAAAAGCACTGAATATCCTAAGGACTGTCAAAAAAATAAACATCTATGTTTTGAAAAAAAATGCAGCCAGAGTGCTCCTTGGAGGGAAGGGTGGTGAGGCTTTGGCTCACATGTTGTGGCATGTTGATAGAGGAGATCATTCCTTGGAAAATGATACAATGTTTTGAAAGGTGAAGGGTCAGCAAAAGAGAGGAAGACCCCCAACAAGGTGGAATGACACAGTGACTACAGCATTGGGCTCAAGTATATCAGAGGTGATTTTGTTCGTAGGGTCACTATGAGTTTTACGCAGCTTATCTGCACATAACTGCAACAACAATATGATAAAGCAAAATACTTTATAGTGGATTTATTATATTTTCAAATTACTATATTTTTATATATAATAGTATCTATTTGCAGAACAGATCATTCAGGAAGCTGGACTCTATGAGGACGAATGGTGTCAGGATTGGAGGAAGACTCGTCAACAACGTGCGTTATGCAAATGACACAACCTTGCTTGCTGAAACTGAGGACATGAGGTATTTGCTGCAGAATGTCAAAGACTGCAGCCTTCAATATGGATTGAAGCTCAATAGCAAGAAAACAAAGATTCCCACCACTGGGACAATTGGCAACATCATTATAGATGGAGAAGAGATTGAGATTGCTATCCGCTTCACCTTGCTTGGTTCCACGATCAACACTCTTGACATCAGCTTCCAAGAAGCCAAAAGATGAATTGCATTGGGAAAATCTATTGTCAGTACCTCTCTAGAATACTGAAGAGCAACAGTGTCAATCTAGAGAATGAGGTACACTGTACCCCTCCTCCAAGCCATTTTGTTTTTGTTGTTGTTGTTATGTGCTGTCAAGTCAGAACTAACCCAGAGCCAACACTCCAGCAGGTTTTCAGAGGCAGTTGATCGCATGGGGTAGATTACCCATCCTCCCAAGGCATACTAGTCTTTGCAATTACTTGTTATGCAATATAGAGCTGGACAATAACTAAGGAAGATAGAAGAAGTTGAATTGTGGAACAGGAGAATAGTATTGAACATACCATGGACTACTAAGAGAACAAACAGGTGTGTCCCAGAGATGGTAAAACCAAGCTGTTACTTGGAGGCAAGGATTTTGGAGCTCTGTCTCATATTCTTTGGGCATGTTGCCAAGAGGCACCTATCCTTAGAGAAGGACATCATGCTTAAAAGGGTGAAGGGACAGCAAGAGAGAAAGAGCTTGGGTGAGATAGACTGACTCAGTAAGTAGGGTAATAGGGGTAGGTATGTCAGAGGCAATGGAATTGGATCAAGATAGGGCAGAATTTGGAGCTGTTGTACCAGAGCTCCCTAACAACATTTTTTTAAAGAATATTAGTTGGCCTGTGAAAATATCTTAATGTAACATAGAAAAGTAACATATAAAAATCCTTTTTTCAAATTTTATAAAAACCATAAAGAAAAATGGAGGAGCCACATTTGAAGAACTGTTTTCAACCAATTGTGATACTATTGCTTGTGATGATGATGATAATGCTTCATCTTAATTGAGCTCTTACTCTGTGTTTTACCATTTTCGTGGTACATTACTTTATATGTGTTTTACCATTACAATAACCCTGTGAGGTTGGAACTATGAGAACCAGTCCCACAGATGAGGAAATTGAAGCATGGAGAAGTTATAAAGTCTCCATAGATTACCCAAGGGGACCCAAGATTTATATTCAGGTCTATTTTTCTCCCAAGCTTGGCTTTTAACCACTAACTTCTAGTTTCCAATCATCATCTATTTGGATACAATAAGCAATTCAGTGCAAGACTAGACAACACTCACACCAAATCCAGCCATGCTCATTTTTTGCCTATTGTTTATAGCTAATTTTATACAATAATGAAAGAGTTGAATTTGAAAGAGACTAGAGAGCCTGCAAAGCAGAAAATATTTACTGTATGGCCTTTTCTAGAAAAAGCATGTTGATCACAGCTTTAATATAAATAGTGCTAGAAAGGGACAATCAAGTTAGTTAAATATACATAAATCATTTTGTTGTACTCATAAGAAATACACATGCTTAGCAATAGTTCAGGGTAAATAGTCAAACACCAGCTCTACTCGTTTTAAAGAGAGTGAGGCAATTGATATGTTCTGTGGTATCCCAGAAGGAAAAGAATAACTCGTAAGGGGGTGTTAGAAACAGAATTTTCAGAAAATAATAGAACCTACTGCCTGAAGAACTTCTTGTCATTGTAGCTGTTCTGCCAAATGTAGGGAGAGCAAGTATTCTAAGAAAGGGATTGTTAACACCATCTTCACTAAATAATAACTTGATATTTCTTCCTACTCTAAATCAAACAATTTGGTGTTGGGCACAAACTATAATTCATGCTAACTAAAAGCTGTCAAATTTTCAGCATATTCATAGGAGGATATGCTTTTATCATATACAGCTATGAGTTGTAGAGATCATGGGAAATGTGGAGTCTAACTGTAAACATTCACAACCTTTCCTGTGAGAATGTGAACATTCAAACCTTTCCTATGAGGCTTCTCGAAGAAAGATCTCAGAGTGAAGTATTTTGGTAATATTTATTTTACAGATAATACAGATTATTCTTTCTTTTCTTAGCAAATATTTATTTAGAACTTTTCTGGAGGCTAGGGATCATTCAAGGTGGTTAAGATTTATCAGTGAACAAAACACAAAAATGCTCTGGTGGCAATGCTAGCAGTAGACCTGACAGGGCATAATAAAATTAAATAGATCAGGCAAGTATAACAGAGAAGTTATCATACTTAACATTATCACTGTGAGAATATTATCCTGATCAAGAGTTACTTCCTAGGATTCTACTGATATCCTCTTCATCTGGAACGACATGAATGAGCCTTCTGTGTTCAGAGGGCCAGAACAAACCATGCAGAAGAATGCCATCCATCATGGCAACTGGGAGCACAGAGAACTTCACAACATCTATGGTTTTTACCAGGTAAGACTTTCAGAAAGAAATCAACTAGTCCCTTGTGCCCTGCATTTAAAGCTGAAAATGATTTGGGTTTTAGTAGCCACACTATGCTGTTAATTTCTGTTTGCATGTCATTTTTAATATGTTTGTTCTTTCAGCAGTCCATGGGATATTCAGTAACTCTCCTCAACACCAAAACTCAAAGACATAAATTCTCAAATGGCACAGAGGTCTAAAGAAAAAAATTTGTTGTTGTTGTCTTCCAGAGGTAGCTAAGACAAGACTTATTTTTACCTTGTGCCATTTGGGAATTGCTGCCTTTGAGGTTTGGTGTTGGAGAAGAGTATTGAATATATCCCATGGACCTCCAAAAGAACAAACAGATGTGTCCTGGAGAGAGTGCAACCAGCATGAAGGCAAAGATAAAAAGCTTCATCTCGCATACTTTGGGCATGTTCCTAGGAGAGACTATTCCTTGCAGCAGAACATCATGCTTGTAAAGGTGGAGGCTGAGTGAGGGAGAGGAAGACTCTTGACCAAATGGATTCCCACAGTAACTGTGGCAATGGGCTTAAGTGTGTCAGGGATGTTGAGGATGGCACAGGATAGGTCAGGGTTCAGATCTATTGTACATATAGGGTCGTTATGAGTTGTATGAGACTCAATGGCCCCTAATAGCAACATCTTCTTGTTCTATTTAAACAGCTGTTTCTTGGACTGCAGGTTCCACTTGAGCATAGTTGGGTTTGAAATATTGGCCATAATTTGTTATGTTCCACACTGTTACATACCTGTGCATGAAGCACAGATAAGCATCTTAACAGGCAGTCCACTGCCACTTCAACAAAGTTACAGACAAAAATGGTTAGCCTTGATAGGAACCATCAACTTTTATTGACATAAGCATGTAGAAGTAAGTGTTAACAAAAGTAATTAACACAATTTTTAAAAAAAATTTCATCAGTGTCAGAAATACCAGAGAGGCAAAATTCAGAGAACACAAATTGGCAATTTCACTAAATATACTTTCCCAACATAGAATGCTTTCCTTTTCAATAGAAAATGATCAGATTGTCTTCTATTTACCAGTCACATTCAAAAGGCTTGATTATAACTGATGTTAATTCATACATGAGTCTTTGTTATTTTCAAAATGTAACCATGGCCCTTCTAACAATTGGTATTTTCTAATGGGAGTTTTTACTAACTATATACAGCACAGTTTCCAGAATAGTATTTGTTTACTTTTTATAACAGCCTGTTGCTATAACCACAAGTTAGAGAACTTCTTTTATGTTGTCCAAGATCAACTACTTTTATGTTGTCCAAGATCAACTAACTTCTCTGAATCTGAGTTTTTTCATCTTTAAAAATCATCTGTCTCCATGCTTGTTTAGGTAGATTCTGTAGAAAATCTTTTCAAATGCCCAGCAATAATAAACAGTTAATGAATACTTGCTTATTATTTCCTATACTTTTAATTCTTATGCTAGTTAAATAATTTTCCTGATCTTTTAATAGGGAAATTTTAAGCCTTTTTAATTCATGAAAATTATTTCATGGTTTAAGAGTTTCCATGTCACAATCCACTACTGTTGACGTGATATGTTAAATTGCTTATCTGGAATGTCTGCATCTGCACAATGTCTAATTTTGTCATCTCTTTGAACATTTTCTTCTTTGACTTTTTAGCAAATGGCTACAGCAGAGGGACTGATACAGCGGACAGAAGGGAAGGAGAGACCTTTTGTGCTAACACGTTCGTTCTTTGCTGGATCACAAAAGTATGGTAAGGAAGGACTCATATTGTCAAACTTGAAGCAGAAGTTAGCAACCTACCTTTGTGTACCATTTATGATATATGCTGCTATTATATAGCTGCCATCTCTTTCAGCAGCCCTTGGGAAGGTTTTAGATTTTAGGGAGTGGTATGCTCTGTAGTATGCATTTTATCCCATGAAAGATTAAAGGGTAATCTTTGAAGTTTGGTATAATGTTTGGTTACTTGTTTCCCATGGAAGAACTTGCCACTTGATTGTTGGGAAATGACTTTAGCGTAAATCAGGTTTCTCATATATCCCAGAATCAGTCATTCCTGATCTTATGTCTTTGGTTTACCCAAACCAGAAAAAATATGCTTCTAACACATTCCTACATCCACCTGTTTCATTTATCAGCATGACTTAAAATATATCTGGCTGTTGCTGGGGGTCAGGCTCATCTATAACCGGATCCAGTTTGCTAGTTAATGCTGATTTAGTTCTACTTAACCAGCCTGTGGCAGGAAGGCTATTTTAAGTGCCCTGGTCTTAACAGAAATAGATGACAGATTAATCCTGGTTTGAGGAGTGCTGCCTTTACTGCATCATTGACATTATTCAACTTCCTACTCCATTCGTGAAAGATAGCTCCTGCAGAAGTCTGAATAGGCCAAAATATAGTTATTTCTAGCAAAGAGTCTTGCACAGCCCATACTAATCCTGCTTAATTAATATAACAAATACTAATGCCGCAATAAGGGCTATACCTTTAACTTGCTGGTCTGTCTGATACTTCTCTAAATCTGAACATTCACATTAAGACAGACCAGGAAGAAGGATTGGCCATCCACTTCTGAAATAGCAGGCCTCTGAAAACCCTATGTACAACAGAACACATTTAGATAACAGAAACGGCAAAGGAGGTT